CCCTACTTAGTTTTTTTCAACTTATAAAATGAAAATTTGCATAATAATGTAAAACTATTTTTATAATTGTATCATCAAATAGTGTTTCTCTAATTATAAAAATACATAAGTTTGTACAAAAAAAAATATGATTCTTCCCCACACAAAATATCACTCCCATTCCATTGTTTTTTTTTTCTACTATAAAGTATTTCAATCTAAGATTGATTCAGTAGTTTCATTGTTAATGTAACACACATGTATTGTTACATTTATAATATTAACTAAAGATATTTAGGTTTAGTGCTTAAATCAATCAGTGTCTGAGGTATGGGAGCAGCACAGGATGGATGACAATGACATATCATGTCTTGACAGGGCATACAAATCTGAAGTCTTGCTGACATTTGACGTAACAAAAAACAACCCTCCCATATCTCAGGCACTGACTTAGCAGCGCGACAAACGCGCGACAGACGCGCTGCCGATAATTTCATACTATGTGACAGGAAATGCCTTGACTTATGGTCCTATGTCCCCTAGATGGGGCAGAGGGCGTCCACAACAGTCCTCCATCGCGTTCGGTCTTGAGCTATGTGTTTGATCTCGCTCCAAGTCTTGCCGATCTTCTTCGCCTCGTCTGCCACAGTGCGCCGCCAAGTTTGCTTGGGGCGACCACGTTTGCGTTTTCCTTAGGGGTTCCAATCCAGAGCCTGCTTGGGGATGTGGGTTCTATATTGGCTCACATAAAATTCTAAATCCTATTCTTTGTCTTACTACCGATTTGTGTTCATAATAATCTCTCTTCATAATTTTATTTTTCATACTTTTTTTATTCATACATTTTCATTCCTACCATCGGAGCTCATAACAGTTAGTAATCATAATTTTTTTATCAATACTGTTACTACCAAGAACCATTTAAAATACATAATTTTTATTTTCAGATCTTTTTTCTTCATAACATTCATTGATCATATTGTTTTAATTAATAATGTTGTTACTAAGAACATACTTCAACTCATAATGTTGTTGTTCAGAATAATTTACTTTATAACAGACATACTCGTATCTTTAAAAAAATCATATATAATTTAATAGAGTAGATAAGCATGCAGAGCATGCAGCATGAAAGCAAGCATGCAGCATGCATTGGTATCTCCTCGTCTCCGGCGCTGCGGGATGTGCAGCCCTTCCGCCATTGCGTAACGAGGCTCAGGCACCCACGCTTGCTTCCGCAGCTTCGGCTTTTTGGATCGCCATCGGCGCCTCGGCGACCAGCCTCAGCCGCTCCAGCTCACCCGGGCGCCTGAGCCTCGTTACAGCGGGCGAGGGCTGCCCTCCCTCCGCGCCTCCGGCTTTTAAATTACACTCTAGGGGTAGGGCAGACAAGACTACGTGGAGACGGTTTTGCAGCGATTCGTTTCTGTCACGTTAGTTTTGTGGCACAAAATATTGCCTGTTTTGGACCATTTCAAACTAATTTAATGTTAAAATACGATTTAATACGAATATTGACATCATGATTTTCAATAATATGGATAAATACACTTATGAGTAATGAATTTATGAAAACAAATATTAGGATACATCACATTTATGAATATTATAGTTATTTATTCGAATGATTATGAGTTTCGATAATTAGTATAGAAAAATATATGAAAACAAATATTAGTAAAAACTAAATGTATGATTAGTGATATTATGAATATCAATGATTATGTTTTTAAATATGTAGGTTTTAAATTTTTTATGAAGAATGATCATTATGATATCAAATTGTATGAGAAATATTTTCGGACCTCCAATGATAGGAATTGAAAAGTTATGTAAGAAAATGCGCTACCGGGGATGTGATCGGGATCCCTTCGGAGAGTGTGGCCCAGCGAATGCCTGCCTTCACATTATAAAAACGCTGCTGTCGCGCTTCTGACGCCCTAATGAGAAAGCGCTCTTAAGCACTACCTATAGCAGGGGTGGCCAACTTGATTAGACATAAGATCTACTGTTTACTAACGAAACCCTGGACGATTTACCACTTACATACTTCTTGAAATCTTAAATGAAACAGCATAGTTTAGTCAGGGTTCGAAATGATAATTATCAATGATAATTATCGTGATAATAACAGATAATTACAAGAAAATGCGCTCGTGAAAATGAACTGTATTCGAAATTTTTGAACGTGTATTTCCGCACTTTCGTCTAGTGGTGGGCGTTAATCAACATAGATAGTTATAAAACCTATCTATTTAGCTCCAAAGTGATCACTAGTTATCTAGCGTCAAAATATTTATCTATTTCCAAGCGTTATGCGACTAGCAATGGATAACTTGACAACAATCAGCAACCAAGAACATAAAGTTACATTTCTTATAAAATAATATGCCAAATCCTATTTTATACTGTTGATAATTATCTGATAATTAATCATGAAGCGTAATTATCTTGATAATTTCGAACCCTGAGTTTAGTACACAATCATGTAGTATTTATTGCCTTGCCACGATCGACCACCCCTGACCTATATATAGTGAGGTATAAAAATGTCACTGCTTTCACAGGTGCTATACGCGTGGCGTAAATCCGACACAACCGACCCAGAGTTTGTGGAGCGCCGCCGTGCGGGACTCGAGAACTTTCTGCTGCGGGTCGCGTCACACCCGAGGCTTTGCTTCGACGATCAGTTCATCAACTTCTTGCAGCAAGAACATGGCTGGCGGGAGACCATCACGGAGAGCGGTAAGAAAAATGTCCTATTAATAATTATGATGTGCTGTTTGTGTAATTGTAATGAGGTATAAAAAAATATCTATAAATTCTTAGAACAGTTGACAGCACAACAGACTATAAGTTGCCACTGTGTTTATCTTGATGTGCCGTCGTCCGTACTTTAAAAGGTGGTCAAAAATGTATTATTCTTTTATTAACGGCTCATGAAGTCAGTCTGCAGCTGAACTTTCTGATAAACTAATCGATCACGTAAAGTGACCTGACTTGATTAGTAAAAAAAAAAAAATTACTGAAATCAAAATACATAGCAGCGGGATTATTATAAAACACGTAAGTCAGTCATCATAATCAATTTTTATTGCAGGTTACAGATTACAAGCAGAAAATAAGCTGAAATCATTGTCAGTGTCAATCAGACTGAAAAAACCAGACCCAGAGATTGACAGCGTCAAGAACTACGGCCGGCAACTCGAAACAAATCTAGGCAACTTTCTGTATACTAGGTAACTTTGCACCTTAACCTTTTGACAATAGAGTAGTATTTGTATTATATTAATAGCGGTCTGAATTTCAGGTCAAAAATTATGGAGAAGAACTATGCCCTGTGTAAACTTCATGCGAACTATGGGAAATTATTCAGTGAATGGAGTGTGATAGAGAAAGAAATGGGAGATGGCTTGCAGAAGGCTGGACATTATTTTGGTAAATTCTCTTCTTAATCTATGTTCTACACAAATACAAATTAATTGTAACCAAAGTCTATTTATTTGATATCCAGTAGCTCACGAATTGACCAGAGTGTAACAATTTGCGAATTGTTTACATTCACATTCTTCGATAAACCACGTCTACTACAACTTTCGGCTTGGATTGACCGCCTTCATTCGTTTGTTATACTTTGATGACGTCATCGTATCTTGTCGTCACAGTTGTCATATAACTAGGCTGTAATAGGCGGGCACTCGCGCAATTTTTAGCGTACATCCTAGGACAGTGTCGCGCTCGTCAGTGACTTGGGACACCAAGTTATCTATGTTATTTCTTATTTATTTCAGATTCAATAGCAGACAGCATAGACTCAGTAGCGGAAGACGAGGAGCAACTAGCCGACCAGTTAAAGGAGTATTTATTCTACGCAGGCGCATTGCAGCAGCTGTGCGCTAACCACGAGGCGCTGCAACGTGCGTTAGAGTTGGCGCACGACACACTCAACAACAGGTATGCTGGAGGATTCTATCGGAGGACACAGGTAGCCGGAGAACTTGGGCGGAGGACACAGGTACCATGAGAACTATGACGAAGGACACAGGTAGCGGAAAACTCAAGCAGAGGACACAGCTGCAGAAATATAGCAGAGGACATAGCCTGAGAACTATCAGAGGACACAGGTAGTCTGAACAAAGGACACCGGTAGCTGGTGTACTTAAGCGGAAGACACAGGTAACTAGTGTACTCAAGCGGAGGATTCAGGTAACCAGTGGAGTCTAGCTGAGGACACATGTTGCCAGGGTTCTCTAACGGAAAAGGACCAGCTGAATGAGTACCTGTTTTACGCAGGCGCATTGCAGCAGCTGTGCGCTAACCACGAGGCGCTGCAACGCGCGTTAGAGTTGGCGCACGACACACTCAACAACAGGTATTAGAATATTTCAGTTCTATTCCCACCGCCGGCTGCTGCAATAGGGTATTTATTTGCCACCACCAATCAATTGACGTACTTTTTAAAACTGTCAAAACAAGACCCATAGATTTTGCATGGCATGGCATTAATTACGTTTTTAAGACCAGGATGAAGTGTTGTTCTTTAGATTTATTATCTTACTGTTTTTATTTTATCAGGATATACCGCTTAGTTTAAAAGTTATTACGTTTTCTTTACAATAAGTAATTGATAGAAAAAAAATTCTATAAAAAATTTAAAAAAATCTCAAAAATATTTTGACCTCTTTTTTGTCGATGAAAATAGGTCTAGTTTCATCTATTTTCATATGTACACTTTAACGTGACTCACACTATAGTCTGCAATGCAGGAGCGCAATAATTGCTCTTATTTGCAAGAGTCAAATGGAGCATTTAGCTTGCATTCCTTACGCTAGCCAAGAGGCCTGATTTTATCAAATTTTACCTTTAGTCTTTTTTATGACATCCAGAATTAGAGTGGAACTGAATTTATTATATTATTCTGCCGGAACACACGGTTCAATTCCTACCTACAACCCGATTAACTGTGCACCTGGCGGCGGTGACGTCACACTGACGCTCTGGTCCTCTGGTACAGACGGGGAGGTGTGCGGTAAAGTGGGAGGGAGAGTGCATTCCAGCAATAGCGTTTAGCTCGATCGGATTGTACATGCTTATGTTTTCAATCAACAGAATAGCGGAACGCAACCGCGCCGCGGCCGGCAAGTCGGGGCTACTGTCGCGCCTGTTCGGCACCACCGACCCCGACATCGTGCGCGACCAGGCCACGCGCGCGCTCGACGCCAAGATACACGACGACCGCGCCGCGATACAGGTTGCGCAGCGGGACCTCGAGTGAGTAACACAACCGCGCGACAACTATTGTAGTACGACTAGTGCGGGACCAGTAAAGTCTGGTCGCCGAGCATGTAGAATTTTGTCCAATGACCCCAAGCTACCCANTGGACGGCCCCTATTCCAAATGACCATGACATTGGGTTTGTTTACATTTGATATCGCTTCTCGTTGGCCGTACTTCAGTACGACTCGTGGTACGACTAGTGCGCGACCAGTAGGCCTAGGATGCACGCCGTGATAATCGATTTTACGTGATAGGTAATCCCATACACTTGACGTCTAAAATCATCGATGAGATTTTATCACGACGCGCATCCTAGCCTGGCTGGTCACGCGCGCGCTCGACGCCAAGATACACGACGACCGCGCCGCGATACAGGCTGCCCAGCGGGACCTCGAGTGAGTACACAACCGCGCGACAACTGTGATAGTCTGGTCTGTGAGCACGTAGAATTTTGTCCAGTGACCCCAAGCTACCCATCCTTATCGCTCGCGCAGACTCACACTCACACTCACTGCGGACGCCCGTCGCACAGTCGCGACAGCAATATAATTACGCGCGAGCAATAAGGATGGGTAGCTTGGGGTCATTGGACAAAATTCTACGTGCTTCTACGTGCACATACCGGGCTTTAGTGCGGGACCGGTAGCCTTATTCACGTAACAAAACAAACGACACCAAATCGCTGAGTTGCGATCTTATCGAGTAATCGTTCTATCGAAATGACCCTTGTGAATACGGATTTAGAACTGTTTTTCAATGGAACGACTTCTGAACGTCAGCGAGATTTTGACTGTGTCAAAATACGTGAATTATGCCACAGCAGGCCTAGGATGCGCGCCATGATAAACGTTTAACGATGCATTTTATCGATTTTACGCGATAATCGCATACACTTGACGTCTAAAATCATCGATGAGATTTTATCACGACGCGCATCCTAGCCTGGCTGGCCACGCGCGCGCTCGACGCCAAGATACACGACGACCGCGCCGCGATACAGGCTGCCCAGCGGGACCTCGAGTGAGTACCTACACAACCTACACACTTGCCGTCTAAAATCATCGATGAAAGGACAGTGCCAATCCATGTATGGAAGTTGGACCAAGTGCTGCCCAGAATGAAACCATAGTGCATTTTGTTCCTCAGGCCAATACTAATTTGTAAACCGAAGCGCACTGAAATCTATCCCTGGAGTTAGAGAAAAAAAGAGTTTTGTTTTGAATTATTTACATACACAATATCATCGATGTATACGTACTACGCATAAGTTTTCGCGATTGTGGCATTAAATAACACTCGCTATGTTGAACTTAACCATACTGCATCCGTACACCTTACTTTAGTAAGACTTCGACATTCTTTATAAGCGATCAAGTGCTGTTGCAGTAGTTTGGTTACTTGACAGAAATTAATTATTTTCAAAATGGAGCAAGAAGTTTTAGCTTACAATAACTTCAATAATATAATCGATTGTAATACACGAATAAACTGATTTTTTGTAAGGATAGAGAACTAAAACTTCTTGCTTCATCTTGGAAATAATGAATTTCTGACAACTTCCCAAACAATTAAAACAGCGCTAGATCGTTTATAAAGAATGTCTAAATCGCACTAAAGTAACGTGTACGGATGCAGTATGGTTAAGTTCAACATAGCGAGTGTTATTTAATGCCATAATCGCGAAATCTTATGCGTAGTACGTATACATCGATGATATTTTGTATGTAAATAATTCAAAACAAAACTCTTTTTTTCTCTTAACTTCAGGGACAGATTTCAGTGCGCTTCGATTTACACATTAGTATAGGCCTGAGGAACAAAATGCACTATGGGTTGATTCTGGGCAACACTTGGTCCAGACCCTGGCACTATCCTTTTATCACGACGCGCATCCTAGCCTGGCTGGCCACGCGCCTACCACTTGCCGTCTAAAATCATCGATGAGATTTTATCACGACGCGCGCAAGATACACGACGACTGCGCCGCGATACAGGCTGCGCAGCGGGACCTCGAGTGAGTACACAACCGCGCGACAACTATTGTAGTACGACTAGTGCGGGACCGGTAGCAGAGTAAATACAAACAAAATAATAAATAAATATCCCTGGACATTTTACACTGCGCTTCTAGTCCCAAACTAAGCAAAGCTTGTACTATGGGTACTAGACAACGGATATAAACATACTTAAATACTTTTTTTTTTGTAAATACATACATATTATACATAGAAAACACCCAGTCCAATACAAACAAATATGCATGGACCTATAAAAAAAGGCGGACGGAACTCGCGCTACAACAAAACTGTGACGCAAAATTTTGGCGTTTGTCTATTGTGTGAGTGAATTTAGGGATGCCATGTTAGCCAAAACATTTTACCCATTTATTTTAAGAAAAACATAGATCGGCAGATGTTACTTGGAAATGTAGAGAGAATTATTCCGTGCCATTTTAAAAGGATGAAAGGTGAATGCGTTGAGGTAGGCGCGAAATTTTCAATGTTCAAATTTTCTTACATTGTTTGCAAGTCAGTGTGTCAGGGTATGTACATAATGTTGATCAAAAATGATTCACGCAGTTACAAATTACGAATCTTGTGTACATTATAATCATAATCTTATGCATCATCAATATATTATTATTATCTNCAACCGCGCGACAACTATTAATAATAACTATTGTAGTACGAAGATACACGACGACCGCGCCGCGATACAGGCTGCCCAGCGGGACCTCGAGTGAGTACACAACCGCGCGACAACTATTAATAATAACTATTGTAGTACGAAGATACACGACGACCGCGCCGCGATACAGGCTGCCCAGCGGGACCTCGAGTGAGTACACAACCGCGCGACAACTATTAATAATAACTATTGTAGTACGAAGATACACGACGACCGCGCCGCGATACAGGCTGCCCAGCGGGACCTCGAGTGAGTACACAACCGCGCGACAACTATTAATAATAACTATTGTAGTACGAAGATACACGACGACCGCGCCGCGATACAGGCTGCCCAGCGGGACCTCGAGTGAGTACACAACCGCGCGACAACTATTAATAATAACTATTGTAGTACGAAGATACACGACGACCGCGCCGCGATACAGGCTGCCCAGCGGGACCTCGAGTGAGTACACAACCGCGCGACAACTATTAATAATAACTATTGTAGTACGAAGATACACGACGACCGCGCCGCGATACAGGCTGCCCAGCGGGACCTCGAGTGAGTACACAACCGCGCGACAACTATTAATAATAACTATTGTAGTACGAAGATACACGACGACCGCGCCGCGATACAGGCTGCCCAGCGGGACCTCGAGTGAGTACACAACCGCGCGACAACTATTAATAATAACTATTGTAGTACGAAGATACACGACGACCGCGCCGCGATACAGGCTGCCCAGCGGGACCTCGAGTGAGTACACAACCGCGCGACAACTATTAATAATAACTATTGTAGTACGAAGATACACGACGACCGCGCCGCGATACAGGCTGCCCAGCGGGACCTCGAGTGAGTACACAACCGCGCGACAACTATTAATAATAACTATTGTAGTACGAAGATACACGACGACCGCGCCGCGATACAGGCTGCCCAGCGGGACCTCGAGTGAGTACACAACCGCGCGACAACTATTAATAATAACTATTGTAGTACGAAGATACACGACGACCGCGCCGCGATACAGGCTGCCCAGCGGGACCTCGAGTGAGTACACAACCGCGCGACAACTATTAATAATAACTATTGTAGTACGAAGATACACGACGACCGCGCCGCGATACAGGCTGCCCAGCGGGACCTCGAGTGAGTACACAACCGCGCGACAACTATTAATAATAACTATTGTAGTACGAAGATACACGACGACCGCGCCGCGATACAGGCTGCCCAGCGGGACCTCGAGTGAGTACACAACCGCGCGACAACTATTAATAATAACTATTGTAGTACGAAGATACACGACGACCGCGCCGCGATACAGGCTGCCCAGCGGGACCTCGAGTGAGTACACAACCGCGCGACAACTATTAATAATAACTATTGTAGTACGAAGATACACGACGACCGCGCCGCGATACAGGCTGCCCAGCGGGACCTCGAGTGAGTACACAACCGCGCGACAACTATTAATAATAACTATTGTAGTACGAAGATACACGACGACCGCGCCGCGATACAGGCTGCCCAGCGGGACCTCGAGTGAGTACACAACCGCGCGACAACTATTAATAATAACTATTGTAGTACGAAGATACACGACGACCGCGCCGCGATACAGGCTGCCCAGCGGGACCTCGAGTGAGTACACAACCGCGCGACAACTATTAATAATAACTATTGTAGTACGAAGATACACGACGACCGCGCCGCGATACAGGCTGCCCAGCGGGACCTCGAGTGAGTACACAACCGCGCGACAACTATTAATAATAACTATTGTAGTACGAAGATACACGACGACCGCGCCGCGATACAGGCTGCCCAGCGGGACCTCGAGTGAGTACACAACCGCGCGACAACTATTAATAATAACTATTGTAGTACGAAGATACACGACGACCGCGCCGCGATACAGGCTGCCCAGCGGGACCTCGAGTGAGTACACAACCGCGCGACAACTATTAATAATAACTATTGTAGTACGAAGATACACGACGACCGCGCCGCGATACAGGCTGCCCAGCGGGACCTCGAGTGAGTACACAACCGCGCGACAACTATTAATAATAACTATTGTAGTACGAAGATACACGACGACCGCGCCGCGATACAGGCTGCCCAGCGGGACCTCGAGTGAGTACACAACCGCGCGACAACTATTAATAATAACTATTGTAGTACGAAGATACACGACGACCGCGCCGCGATACAGGCTGCCCAGCGGGACCTCGAGTGAGTACACAACCGCGCGACAACTATTAATAATAACTATTGTAGTACGAAGATACACGACGACCGCGCCGCGATACAGGCTGCCCAGCGGGACCTCGAGTGAGTACACAACCGCGCGACAACTATTAATAATAACTATTGTAGTACGAAGATACACGACGACCGCGCCGCGATACAGGCTGCCCAGCGGGACCTCGAGTGAGTACACAACCGCGCGACAACTATTAATAATAACTATTGTAGTACGAAGATACACGACGACCGCGCCGCGATACAGGCTGCCCAGCGGGACCTCGAGTGAGTACACAACCGCGCGACAACTATTAATAATAACTATTGTAGTACGAAGATACACGACGACCGCGCCGCGATACAGGCTGCCCAGCGGGACCTCGAGTGAGTACACAACCGCGCGACAACTATTAATAATAACTATTGTAGTACGAAGATACACGACGACCGCGCCGCGATACAGGCTGCCCAGCGGGACCTCGAGTGAGTACACAACCGCGCGACAACTATTAATAATAACTATTGTAGTACGAAGATACACGACGACCGCGCCGCGATACAGGCTGCCCAGCGGGACCTCGAGTGAGTACACAACCGCGCGACAACTATTAATAATAACTATTGTAGTACGAAGATACACGACGACCGCGCCGCGATACAGGCTGCCCAGCGGGACCTCGAGTGAGTACACAACCGCGCGACAACTATTAATAATAACTATTGTAGTACGAAGATACACGACGACCGCGCCGCGATACAGGCTGCCCAGCGGGACCTCGAGTGAGTACACAACCGCGCGACAACTATTAATAATAACTATTGTAGTACGAAGATACACGACGACCGCGCCGCGATACAGGCTGCCCAGCGGGACCTCGAGTGAGTACACAACCGCGCGACAACTATTAATAATAACTATTGTAGTACGAAGATACACGACGACCGCGCCGCGATACAGGCTGCCCAGCGGGACCTCGAGTGAGTACACAACCGCGCGACAACTATTAATAATAACTATTGTAGTACGAAGATACACGACGACCGCGCCGCGATACAGGCTGCCCAGCGGGACCTCGAGTGAGTACACAACCGCGCGACAACTATTAATAATAACTATTGTAGTACGAAGATACACGACGACCGCGCCGCGATACAGGCTGCCCAGCGGGACCTCGAGTGAGTACACAACCGCGCGACAACTATTAATAATAACTATTGTAGTACGAAGATACACGACGACCGCGCCGCGATACAGGCTGCCCAGCGGGACCTCGAGTGAGTACACAACCGCGCGACAACTATTAATAATAACTATTGTAGTACGAAGATACACGACGACCGCGCCGCGATACAGGCTGCCCAGCGGGACCTCGAGTGAGTACACAACCGCGCGACAACTATTAATAATAACTATTGTAGTACGAAGATACACGACGACCGCGCCGCGATACAGGCTGCCCAGCGGGACCTCGAGTGAGTACACAACCGCGCGACAACTATTAATAATAACTATTGTAGTACGAAGATACACGACGACCGCGCCGCGATACAGGCTGCCCAGCGGGACCTCGAGTGAGTACACAACCGCGCGACAACTATTAATAATAACTATTGTAGTACGAAGATACACGACGACCGCGCCGCGATACAGGCTGCCCAGCGGGACCTCGAGTGAGTACACAACCGCGCGACAACTATTAATAATAACTATTGTAGTACGAAGATACACGACGACCGCGCCGCGATACAGGCTGCCCAGCGGGACCTCGAGTGAGTACACAACCGCGCGACAACTATTAATAATAACTATTGTAGTACGAAGATACACGACGACCGCGCCGCGATACAGGCTGCCCAGCGGGACCTCGAGTGAGTACACAACCGCGCGACAACTATTAATAATAACTATTGTAGTACGAAGATACACGACGACCGCGCCGCGATACAGGCTGCCCAGCGGGACCTCGAGTGAGTACACAACCGCGCGACAACTATTAATAATAACTATTGTAGTACGAAGATACACGACGACCGCGCCGCGATACAGGCTGCCCAGCGGGACCTCGAGTGAGTACACAACCGCGCGACAACTATTAATAATAACTATTGTAGTACGAAGATACACGACGACCGCGCCGCGATACAGGCTGCCCAGCGGGACCTCGAGTGAGTACACAACCGCGCGACAACTATTAATAATAACTATTGTAGTACGAAGATACACGACGACCGCGCCGCGATACAGGCTGCCCAGCGGGACCTCGAGTGAGTACACAACCGCGCGACAACTATTAATAATAACTATTGTAGTACGAAGATACACGACGACCGCGCCGCGATACAGGCTGCCCAGCGGGACCTCGAGTGAGTACACAACCGCGCGACAACTATTAATAATAACTATTGTAGTACGAAGATACACGACGACCGCGCCGCGATACAGGCTGCCCAGCGGGACCTCGAGTGAGTACACAACCGCGCGACAACTATTAATAATAACTATTGTAGTACGAAGATACACGACGACCGCGCCGCGATACAGGCTGCCCAGCGGGACCTCGAGTGAGTACACAACCGCGCGACAACTATTAATAATAACTATTGTAGTACGAAGATACACGACGACCGCGCCGCGATACAGGCTGCCCAGCGGGACCTCGAGTGAGTACACAACCGCGCGACAACTATTAATAATAACTATTGTAGTACGAAGATACACGACGACCGCGCCGCGATACAGGCTGCCCAGCGGGACCTCGAGTGAGTACACAACCGCGCGACAACTATTAATAATAACTATTGTAGTACGAAGATACACGACGACCGCGCCGCGATACAGGCTGCCCAGCGGGACCTCGAGTGAGTACACAACCGCGCGACAACTATTAATAATAACTATTGTAGTACGAAGATACACGACGACCGCGCCGCGATACAGGCTGCCCAGCGGGACCTCGAGTGAGTACACAACCGCGCGACAACTATTAATAATAACTATTGTAGTACGAAGATACACGACGACCGCGCCGCGATACAGGCTGCCCAGCGGGACCTCGAGTGAGTACACAACCGCGCGACAACTGTTATAGTACGACTAGTGCGGGACCAGTAAAGTCTGGTCAGTAGAATTTTGTCCAATGACCCCAAGCTACCCATCCTTATCGCTCGCGCGTAATTATATTGCTGTCGCAACTTTGCCTCGAGTATAGTGTAAAGTACGGCCAACTAGCAGCGATACAAAAGGTCGATTCGACTGTCGAACTGACAATCTATTCTGTCTCTTCCCATCTCGTGTATTTGTCGTAATGTTTCGTTCTCCCGCCAAAATATGTCAAAGTCAAACGCCTGCTATTCCAAATGACCATGACATTGGGTTTGTTTACATTTGGTATCGCTTCTCGTTGGCCGTACTTCAGAACGACTCGTGGTACGACTAGTGCGCGACCAGTAGGCCTAGGATACACGCCGTGATAATCGATTTTACGTGATAGATAATCCCATACACTTGACGTCTAAAATCACCGATGAGATTTTATCACGACGCGCATCCTAGCCTGGCTGGCCACGCGCCTACCACTTGCCGTCTAAAATCATCGATGAGATTTTATCACGACGCGCGCAAGATACACGACGACCGCGCCGCGATACAGGCTGCGCAGCGGGACCTCGAGTGAGTACACAACCGCGCGACAACTGTTATAGTACGACTATAGTCTGGTCTGTGAGCACGTAGAATTTTGTCCAATGACCCCAAGCTACCCATCCTTATCGCTCGCGCAGACTCACACTCACACTCACTGCGGACGCCCGTCGCACAGTCGCGACAGCAATATAATTACGCGCGAGCGATAAGGATGGGTAGTAAGTAGCTTGGGGTCATTGTACAAAATTCTACGTGCTTCTACGTGCACATACCGGGCTTTAGTGCGGGACCGGTAGCCTTATTCACGTAACAAAACTAACGACACCAAATCGCTGAGTTGCGATCTTATCGAGTAATCGTTCTATCGAAATGACCCTTGTGAATACGGATTTAGAACTGCTTTTCGATGGGACGACTTCTTAACGTGTAAAATACGTGAATTAGGCCACAGTAGGCCTAGAATGCGCGCCGTCATAAACGTTTAAGCGCATTTTATCGATTTTACGCGATAATCGCATACACTTGACGTCTAAAATCATCGATGAGTTTTTAACACGACGCGCATCCTAGCCTGGCTGGTCACGCGCGCCAAGATACACGACGACCGCGCCGCGATACAGGCTGCCCAGCGGGACCTCGAGTGAGTACACAACCGCGCGACAACTGTTATAGTACGACTATAGTCTAGTCTGTGAGCACGTAGAATTTTGTCCACTGACCCCAAGCTACCCATCCTTATCGCTCGGGCGTAATTATATTGCTGTTGCGCTCGCACACTCACTGCGGGCGCCCGTCGCACAGTCGCGACAGCAATATAATTACGCGCGAGCAAAGTCTATTACTGGTAGAACCTCTACACTCTCTTTCGCCGAGCTCGAGGATGTGCTATCTCTTAAGGCGTTTTGTATCTCTGTTTATTAGCAGGTTCAAAAATAGAAATAAAAATAAGGTAACCCTTAAGAGGCACTTTAGCGTGTCTCCATATCTTTTAGTACACACAGTATCACTCATAATAGTCCAGCTATGCTGGCTATCGATAGAACGATCGATATCCTCATTATGTACTCACCCGTCACCCCCACCCCCTAAAGTTGCAGTTGTAGTTAAAAAGTTGCATTCCTAAATTGTACGCATACTTAAATTGTACACAGTTTTGGCAATAAAGATTAGTCTATTCTATTCGTAGCTTCAATTTCAGTATTAAGACTGGTTACTTCTGGTCTTGGGGGTTGATTTTAAGTAACAGGTTCCAGCTAACGAGAAGATTACAGTGTGTTGTAATAAAAAAGGGACCAACTTTGAGCTAGAAAAATTTACAGAACGTCAAATTCTATTGTTTGATTCAATACCTGCCTTGTGCTGTTAAAAAAAGTCATAAATCGTCATTAATGATCTTGTTTCTTTTGCCCAGGGAGTTTACGAAGAAAGCGGCGGTAGAAATAGAACATTTCCAGAAGCAAAAAGACAAAGACATCCACGAGTCCTTAGTGGCCTTCATCACGCTACAGGTCAAAGCTGCGAAAAAGGTATGTATGAAACACTACAGGGTGTTAGGTAAATGGGTATATGAGCCGACACTAGCCCATGTTAACATGGTCATATAAATGGTATGGTTAAGTCAGAAAATTGATATCTTCATTTTAATTATTTTATTTTTCATACAAATCGGATTTTATAAAATTTATTTTGTATGAAAATAAAAAATATAAAATGATGATATCAAATGTCTGACTTCACCATACCATTTATATGCCCATGTTAACATGGGCTAGTGTCGGCTCATATACCCATTTACCTAACACCCTGTATACATTATAAACAATAAATAGAAAATAAGGTTCTATTCGACATTCCAAACCCTATTTAAGTCACACCACTTACCTTAAAAATGATTAGTGAATAACGACACAACTGATATTTAGTCAATTTTGACACACAACATCTTGACATCATACAATGTTTATTTATTATGATGTGACTATTTTTAATTTCATTTTGAAAATTTAAATTACTGCTGACATTATGCAGACTGATTTATTCTATTTAACCTGAAACCATAAGGAACGATGACGAAAAAATCTAACAATACTTATATTGTTTATCGCAAAGTCGCAAACTCAACTTATGATATTTATATTAAAAATATTTTCCAGAACCTTCAAGCGTGGACGCAAATAAGAGAGTGTCTACAAAACATGCCCTGAGCGTGGTCACCCGTATCGCGGCATCTTCTTTCCAAGTGTGCACAGAAGCGTGAAGGCACTTTATTTAGAGGCAAGTTAATTTTAATGAACACTAGAAAAACCATGTACAGTTAGCGTGGAAAACATGCATGTAGCTTTACCATGAGTTTACGTTAAACGTCATGAGTGACTCAAAAAATCTATGAAGATTTTAGTTTATTACAGTAACCGCTAGGGGCAGTGTACAATCTGTCACACATTTCTTGTCATTTTTACGTTGTCCCTAATGAGCACATCTAATTTAAACTCATGGTAAGCACACTGAACCCTGTGAAAAAGACAATTGGTTGGTAACAGATTTATATTGGAGGACATTTTAAGTGAGTGCGCGTGGGGACTGCTTTTATAGCTTTCAATTGTCAGATAGTAAGTATTAATACGAAGAAAAAGTCTATGGCATATTATTGTTACGGTCTCCCAATGATAATCGATTTTCCTGTAAGTTCTAGTAAAAGTCCTTATACAGACAGAAGATATAACAAACGAAACTCAAAACTGAATTCAAGTCAAACCTGTGATTGTCAAAACAAAAGTTAAAGTGTGATTTTCAATATTTAGAACTGATAGATCAATAAGTTCTAAATATTGAAAATCACACATCTTTACTAAAGTGTAGAATCGTATGTAGTATCTTTTTATACTGTCTGCTGCAGAGTTATAACATTCCTTATCACTAGAAATTAAGGTTTTAATTTGAACAGCTGTACATATGGTGCCTTATCACAAGATTGCCTGACGATTACTTCTGACAATTGGAAGCCAGCCCTCGTGAACAATGTAACACACTAGGATAGATTCTAAACAATTTTATACGGTGGTTTTCACGATGTGTTTTGATGATTTAGCTTATTTTATAGAAAGCCTTTTTTTTCGTGTAGGTATCGTTCTAAAAAGCACGAGCGCTTGCGGTGTGTCAAAATGTTATATTACGATCAAACCAAAGAAAATAAATATACAGGGTGTTGATTTCAATCCTCTATCATGACTTATAAACGCATATCCATAAAAAAATACAAACGAAAGTATAATTTTTAGCGAATATTTTCCTTGTGACATCAACTGTACTCTAGCTCGCAATACTGCAATACGTTTACACTGCGGCACCATCGAGCTACGCGGATCGCTCGCTTATCATGTCGGATAGTACTACTGGAAGCCACGTAAAGTAGGTAGTGTAAATAGGTATTTTTCTTTGACTAATTAAAGTTAAAGTTCGTTTTAATTTTTTTCGAAGTCAATTTTTTACTGATCAGATTTTTGTGATCAGAATAAGCTACTTAATCAACTCCCTAAATATGGCGAGGATTGAAATCAACACCCTGTAACTATAGCAACTAGCTGCGCGCCCGGGACTGCCTATGAGATTGATATATTGTAGAAAGTAAACAACTCAAACTAAGTATATAAAATTAAAAAAAATCACGCAAATTCACCACGCCTTAGAAAAAGACAGTCACACATTCGCATTTTTAATATGAGTGAATATGGGTCAATATGGAAATAATAACAATAAAAATAATTACAAAATAATTTCTAAAATTTTATTAATTTTAGTGTCATTCACATTATTATTTATAACCTAACGAGTTCCACAATGTGTAAATATCATTCATAAAAATACAGTGGAATAAAATATAAAACAAAACCAAATTAAAACTGTATCTTAGTTATTTATTAGTATTTTTAATAATGTAAATCACGCTCAGTCATTAAATCCACAAAGACATATCTTTATTTATAACTAATTTCATTATTGTATGTCAGATTTTAATTAATTAATTTCTCACATTTGCCAACAGTCAATAAATACTTTAAAGATTGATCTCAGTCAGTATCAATATTTAGCCTCCCCTTCAATATATTTTATAAGTCGTTTGACAAAAGATCATTGTTCAAACCCCTTTCCTTGATAATCCGAGATTAAAGTTAAAAAAAAACATAATTCACTCTTGGCAAATATGAAAAAAGCTAATATAAACATTATGTATAAACGAGTATATGAAATGGTGAAGGTTTTAAAATGTATCTACCTATATTACCTATCTATTTAATATATTCTTAAAGAAAACAGTAGCCATGTGTGAGGGAATTCAGTTGCTTTACAGAATATATATTGTTATTATTAAGGCATATTTAATTAAAGCCAATGAGGAAAATTGTAGAAACATGTTCACTGTCGATTTATTTAAAGTTTTTAGCGCTCATACAATCATAATATTTCCAAATTGGTATTGTGTGGATCACATACACCAAAATACTGTCAGTTTTATGTATTCCATTGATAAATATAATACATTTTGATGTTGTCATGTCTTAGTTAGAAAAAACTTGCTAAAGTGCGCTAGAATTCTCCAAAAATGCTTTCAAATACTCAACTGTGATTTTAAGACCAACTCAATACGTAGATAGATTTTGTATTGTAAAGAGGTACCTGTAGACTAAGTGCCGCTATATTATTATCATTTAGCTAGTTCACCTTTTTGAATATTTATTTATGTTGATTATTTAACCTTTATTGTGAAATGTAGTTTTCAATAAAACATCGATATTTTGTAATCCGTTTGTTTTTGTTAAATCATGGCGCCATAAAATAGTAATTCTCGATTTATTGAAACTTTTGTGAAAATTAAACTACAAGACTTGTATCTTAAAAATCGCGAAACACATTAATATCTTTATTGATCTAATCTTGAAAAGTTTTGATTCATGCTCCTGTAGTCCCTTTTCAAGGTACAGACAACAACCCATGTGCAATTTACCACATTTTTTTTTAATTTAATTAGTTTTTGTGGGTTTCCCTTGCACTTACACCTAATTAATATTGTAATGTCCTTCTGAGGGAACAGTTACGTGTCGTCACGCCGTTAGCCACCAGCTGTCATATTGTCATTGTCACACGGCGCTAATTGCCGTAGTGCCATCGATTTATCGATCACATGTGTGTGGAACATTCCGCGCAAGGTAATACTTTCCTAGATGATTTTAATTGAAAATTGAAATAGTTTTTTGTAAAGATTTACCCTCCTTTGGAAACTATCACTAAACCAACTTTTTTCTTAACACCGTAAGCAAATCAACACAATTGAACCCCAGAAAGGCCATATCATGTGTCAGCTACGGATACACACGGAGAGAATTGGAGCAACATGTTGCGGAACATGTCGCTGACCAACTAGGTGATGTTCCTGGGAACAATGTTTTATTCACAGAGTGTCAACACGAAATAATTATATCCTGGGCCACGTGGAATGTTGCGCGAAATACTGAGGGTCAGTTTGGGGCACTTTGAAAACGTTCGTAGCTTAAAGATTTGATAACCCATAACAACGCTGCAATCTACACAATCGCTCGTTTTTAACTCCTGTATGTCCAGGATCTACAGATGGCCAACCTATAGAGCGTTTTTGGTATAAAAAATATTTTTAGTTCAGAAGATTTTGTGAGCTTTAAATATGCTGACGATCTATTACTTTACCACCATGTTAGATAACATAATATTTACTCTACATTAAATGCATTGTCATAATTTGCTCATCATCATCATCATTTCAGCTATAGGACGTCCACTGCTGAACATAGGCCTCCCCTAATGCTTTCCACGTTGATCGATTGCTCACTAAAGTGCAAATAAAATAATATCGCAATTATAACAACTCGTGTATAACGGACAGTTGACCACCCCTGTGCCATCAATTATTCGGAGCTTCGACATTGAATCGATGGGAAGTAGGTCACTCATATAAACAACACCGTCTAATACAGACCTGTCATGTCCCTTCAATAAAGCTGTCTTAGTACGTGGAACTTAAACTATTAAGTGTTTGTAAAAGTCAAGAAAATCCGTGACAATGAAGACCCAGCAAGTGGGCGTGGACTACTGGGCAATGGGCAAGGCGATGTTTGTGTATATGGCCCTAACGGCTATGTGCTGGGTCATGCTCCGGCTTTTTAATGCTGTGTTCATGCTGCCGAGGCGCCTGCGCACCCAGCAGCAAAACATACAGAACACCCTGGAGGAACTACAGGTGAATATCTACACTGTTACTCTAGCTATAACAACTACATGATGATTCCCACCTCTCGTTCCCACAGCTGCAACTCCTGTGTAGCCAGGATCTACAGCTTGACCGCCTATAGCTATAACAATTAGTTTACACTTAAAAGTCTTGTTCAAGAACGCGCAACAGCTGGAGTTTGTTTTGAAAATTTTCACTTTCTCGGACGTGTAGTTAAAAAACGAGTAGGAATTAGAAAAAATATTTAGAACAAAGATCTAAAATATTTATTGGCTTTCATCGCGTCATAGATATTTTATTTTATTATTTTATTTATTTATTTTATTTTGTTCGGAAAACATACAGTGAAACAATAATAGATTAACCACTGCTTAAGAAACTATACACCATTTACATGTTTTCGCATATGTGTATGTATTTTTTCTGTATGAAGCACCATTTTAAAGATATTAGCAAAAATCTCAAAAGTGGGATCTTTACTTTAACCCCCTTCCCCCACCCATAGAGGCGGGGACTTTTAGTACGTTTACTCACTAAGCATCCTGAACCAATTTCTGGAGAAATTGCTTAGGCACCAGTTCACGCACTCTACACCCCCTTTTTGGTCACTTTTTGAGTAGACTACACGGTGTTTGGGTGGTAACCATGCAGTTACGGTTTAAGGCAAGTCTGAACCAAGCTTTAAAATCTCCTCGTGCCTATGAAGTAAGGCTCGGTTTCCACCAAACCTTTTCATAAATCGCGAGTCATATTTTGACTGCTCAAAAAGTCAATTTACTTGGATTTTCACTGACTTACGACTGTCAAAATCTCTTCAAAATTACTACTAGGTACTAGGTACTTGGTAGCCGCGTCTTCTAGGCACACCTAAGCGTGTACAGTCAGCATCAAGTAGTGACGCCCAAAGTAGTCAAATGGTTTGCAACGGGTCTTTGTTACAATTGGAATTAAGTTGTGTTGTCCACTTTTTGACCACTTTGAATGTCACTAACTATTTGACGCTGACTGTTACGAGGGCTNCGTCGCACAGTCGCGACAGCAATATAATTACGCGCGAGCAATAAGGATGGGTAGCTTGGGGTCATTGGACAAAATTCTACGTGCTCACAGACCGGGCTTTAGTGCGGGACCGGTAGCCTTATTCACGTAACAAAACTTCAACGACACAACCCAGACCTCGAGTGAGTACCACAGTTATAGCACAGAATAATAATAAGTACTACCAGGCCTGTTCATCTCCGCGAGTTTGCATCGAAAACAAAACACGCGCGACTACCCTTCCTGCGGTACCTAATCGACAGGACAATCACGAGCGAGTATTGACGCACGCACGTGTATTCTTCACCCATTTGTATTGTAAAGACAATAAACCATATTATGTAAAAACGCGAAAAAAAAAACAAAGTATAATTCATGCTTATTCATGTATTTCCTCCGCCATTTTCCGCAGTTTGACACCTCACGTCATACATCATTTTACCGAAGTCAGCCCTATAGCTTCGGCGCAGTACCGATCACTGACGTTTGTCAACAAAATGCTGCTCGACTCTTGAGACAAGCTAAATTACACCATATTGTTAACGACATTGAGCATACATTTTTTTATATACCTTCGCAAAGAAAATCCTGTACGTAGTACTTATTATTATTCTGTGGTACTACGTTCAGAAAGTCTACTCAATGTCGTCAACAATATGCTTGTCTCAGAGTCGAGTTTAATTTAGCTTGTCTCATGCCCGTTTTCACCATCAATCCCTAATTTTTAAGTGACCCCTATGGTAACACATAACAGGCATTTTGTTTTCATAGAGGTCACTTAAAAATTGGGGTTTGATGGTGAAAACGGGCATCAGAATCGTGCACTGTTTCGTTTTCATACGTCAGTAATCGGTACTGTGCCCATACAATAAGAAGCTACTGTGTGGAGGCAGATGGAGATCAGGCGCGTATTTTTTCTTCTTTCCATAGCGAATATTTATTTGCAATGGGTGAAGAATAGGCGCGCGTACGTCACTCACTACTCGCTCGTGAATCCCTTATGAATTAAACCCGCCGGCGCGGCGACTTGTTTTCTATGCCCACTCAGGGAAATTAACAGGCCTGTTTATTACGTATCTCATTGAACTTGTTTTCTTAACCCAGGGAATTTACCAAGAAGGCGGCGGTAGAAATAGAACATTTCCAGAAGCAAAAAGACAAAGACATCCACGAGTCCTTAATGGCCTTCATCACGCTACAGGTCAAAGCTGCGAAAAAGGTAACTATCATGCTAAAATAAGAGAAAACAAGAAGCTTATGTCACATTTAAGCCACGCTCCTTACCCTATAAATGATTAGTGAATAACGACACAACTGATATTTAGCCAGTTTTGACACACGACATCTTGACAGCTTTGAAATCATGCAATGTTTACTATTATGTGACTATTTTTAATTTCATTTTGAAAATTTAAATTACTGCTAACATTATGCAGACTGATTTATTCTATTTAACCTGAAACCATAAGCAACGATTACGAAAAAATCTAACAATACTTGTATTGTTTATCACAAACACAACTTATGATATTTATACTAAAAATATTTTCCAGAACCTTCAAGCGTGGACGCAAATAAGAGAGTGTCTACAAAACATGCCCTGAGCGTGGTCACCCGTATCGCGGCATCTTCTTTCCAAGTGTGCACAGAAGCGTGAAGGCACTTTATTTAGAGGCAAGTTAATTTTAATGAACACTAGAAAAACCATGTACAGTTAGCGTGGAAAACATGCATGTAGCTTTACCATGAGTTTACATTCATGTAAACGGTAATGATTCAAATGTCATCGGTAATGAGTGTTTCAAAAAATATATGAAGATTTTAGTTCTTAAAAAGTAACCGCTAGGGTCGCTGTACAATCTGTCACACATTTCTTGTCATTTTTACGTTGACCCTAATGAGCACATCTAATGTAAACTCATGGTAAGCACACAACCCTGTGAAAAAGACAATTGGTTGGTAACAGATTTATATTGGAGGACATTTTAAGTGAGTGCGCGTGGGGACCGCTTTTATAGCTTTCAATTGTCAGATAGTAAGTATGAATACGAAGAAAAATTATATGGCATAAGTATATTGATGATCGATTTTCCTGTAAGTTCTAGTAAAAGTCCCAGACAGAAGATATAACAAACGAAACTCAATACCGAATTCAAGTCAAACCTGTGATTGTCAAAACAAAAGTTAGTGTGATTTTCAATATTTAGAACTGATATAGATCAATAAGTTCTAAATATTGAAAATCACACATCTTTACAAAAGTGTAGAATCGTATGTAGTATCTTTTTATACTGTCTGCTGCAAAGTTAAAACATTCCTTTGTCACTAGAAATTAGGTTTTAATTTGAACAGCTGTACATATGGTGCCTTATCACAAGATTGCCTGTCATTACTTCTGACAATTGGAAGCCAGCCCGCTTGAACAAACGTAGTAAACTAGGATAGATTCTAAACAATTTTATACGGTGGTTTTCACGATGTGTTTTGATGATTTAGCTTATTTTATAGAAAGCCTTTTTTTCGTGTAGGTATCGTTCTAAAAAGCACGAGCGCTTGCGGTGTGTCAAAATGTTATATTACGATCAAACCAAAGAAAATAAATATACAGGGTGTTGATTTCAATCCTATCATGACATATTATAAACGCATATCCATAAAAAAATACAAACGAAAGTAGAATTTTTAGCGAATATTTTCCTTGTGACATCAACTGTACTCTGGCTCGCAATACTGCAATACGTTTACACTGCGGCACCATCGAGCTACGCGGATCGCTCGCTTATCATGTCGGATAGCCTATTGAAGGAAGCCACGTAAAGTAGGTATTTTTCTTTGACTAATGAAAGTTAAAGTTCGTTTTAATTTTTTTCGAAGTCAATTTTTTACTGATTCGTGATCAGAATAAGCTACTTAATCAACTCCCTAAATATGGCGAGGATTGAAATCAACACCCTGTATGGCAACTAGCTGCGCGCCCGGGACTACCTGTGAGATTGATATATTGTAGAAAGTAAACAACTCAAACTAAGTATATAAAATTCAAAAAAAAATCACGCAAATTCATCACGCCTTAGAAAAAGACAGTCACACATTCGCATTTTAATATGAGTGAATATGGGTCAATATGGAAATAAATAACAATAAAAATAATTACAAAATAATTTCTAAAATTTTATTAATTTTAGTGTCATTCACATTATTATTTATAACCTAACGAGTTCCACAATGTGTAAATATCATTAATAAAAATAACAGTGGAATAAAATATAAAACAAAACCAAATTAAAACTGTATCTTAGTTATTTAATATTATTTTTAATAATGTAAATCACGCTCAGTCATTAAAACCACAAAGACATATCTTTATTTATAACTAATTTCATAATGTATGTAAGTTTTTAATTATTTAATTTCTCACATTTGCCAACAGTCAATAAATACTTTAAAGATTGATCTCAGTCAGTATCAATATTTAGCCTCCCCTTCAATATATTTTTAATATATTTTNTATATTTTATAAGTCGTTTGACAAAAGATCATTGTTCAAACCCCTTTCCTTGATAATCCGAGATTAAAGTTAAAAAAAAACATAATTCACTCTTGGCAAATATGAAAAAAGCTAATATAAACATTATGTATAAACGAGTATATGAAATGGTGAAGGTTTTAAAATGTATCTACCTATATTACCTATCTATTTAATATATTCTTAAAGAAAACAGTAGCCATGTGTGAGGGAATTCAGTTGCTTTACAGAATATATATTGTTATTATTAAGGCATATTTAATTAAAGCCAATGAGGAAAATTGTAGAAACATGTTCACTGTCGATTTATTTAAAGTTTTTAGCGCTCATACAATCATAATATTTCCAAATTGGTATTGTGTGGATCACATACACCAAAATACTGTCAGTTTTATGTATTCCATTGATAAATATAATACATTTTGATGTTGTCATGTCTTAGTTAGAAAAAACTTGCTAAAGTGCGCTAGAATTCTCCAAAAATGCTTTCAAATACTCAACTGTGATTTTAAGACCAACTCAATACGTAGATAGATTTTGTATTGTAAAGAGGTACCTGTAGACTAAGTGCCGCTATATTATTATCATTTAGCTAGTTCACCTTTTTGAATATTTATTTATGTTGATTATTTAACCTTTATTGTGAAATGTAGTTTTCAATAAAACATCGATATTTTGTAATCCGTTTGTTTTTGTTAAATCATGGCGCCATAAAATAGTAATTCTCGATTTATTGAAACTTTTGTGAAAATTAAACTACAAGACTTGTATCTTAAAAATCGCGAAACACATGAATATCTNTAATATCTTTATTGATCTAATCCTGAAAAGTTTTGATTCATGCTCCTGTAGTCCCTTTTCAAGGTAAAGACAACAACCCATGTGCAATTTACCACATTTTTTTTAAATTTAATTAGTTTTTGTGGGTTTCCCTTGCACTTACACCTAATTAATATTTTAATGTCCTTCTGAGGGAACAGTTACGTGTCGTCACGCCGTTAGCCACCAGCTGTCATATTGTCATTGTCACACGGCGCTAATTGCCGTAGTGCCATCGATTTATCGATCACATGTGTGTGGAACATTCCGCGCAAGGTAATATTTTCCTAGATGATTTCAATTGAAAAGTGAAGTGAAAAATGTTTTTGAAAAGAAAAGATCCCTCTTTCGAAACTGTCATCAAACCATCTCTTTAACACCGCAAGAAAATTAGCTCAATTAAGAAACCATATCGAAGGTAATCGAGACCTCGAGGTCATATTTAGTTTATGAAGATTTGATTACCCATAACTTATCCGTCCGTCCAATTTTTTCCTTCATAGCCCTTTTCTAACTCGGTATCCAGGATCTACTGGTTGGTCGTGGACCTAACCAAATATATTTTTGCAATAATAGATTTTGTGTTCTTAAAATCCTCTTCTATTGAATATGCGTTTTATAGCGACGATTTATTTGCCACCATATTAAAATACCAACAAATTTTCCTATTTACTTGTCATTAAAATGAATTTTTGTATTTGTTCAATAGATTGCAAATAAAATAATAACGCAATTATAACAACTCGTGTATAACGGACAGTTGACCACCCCTGTGCCATCAATTATTCGGAGCTTCGACATTGAATCGATGGGAAGTAGGTCACTCATATAAACAACACCGTCTAATACAGACCTGTCATGTCCCTTGAATAAAGCTGTCTTAGTCTTAGTACGTGGAACTTAAACTATTAAGTGTTTGTACAAGTCAAGAAAATCCGTGACAATGAAGACCCAGCAAGTGGGCGTGGACTACTGGGCAATGGGCAAGGCGATGTTTGTGTATATGGCCCTAACGGCTATGTGCTGGGTCATGCTCCGGCTTTTTAATGCTGTGTTCATGCTGCCGAGGCGCCTGCGCACCCAGCAACAGAACATACAGAACACCCTGGAGGAACTACAGGTGAATATCTACACTTTAGTATACATTTACACTAACTATAGCAATTAGTTTACACTTAAGCCTAGGCGCAGACCAACGACTTTTAGATGGCCGATAGTTGAGTCGGGCTGATAATCAGTATGGACGTATATGAAAGTGCGCACATTACACCGATTTGAAATCCGCCGATTCTTCATACAATTAAAATCGGGCCCACCCAACTATCGGCCAACTAAAAGTTGGTGGTCTGCGCCTAGGCTAAAGATCTTGTTGAGGAACGCGCAATAACCGCGCGGTTTTTGGGTGGTTCTCTTTGGAGGTAACGTTTGCAGTTACGGTTGATGCAAATGTACGAGAACTACACAGCTACCGCGCAATTATCGTTGTCTGAACCAGGGTTTAAAATCTCCTCGTGCCTGTAAAGTAAGGCCCGGTTTCCACCTAACCTTTTGGTAAATCGCGAGTCATATTTTTAATGCTCAATTGACTTAAAGTAGGCGCACACCGTTGATTTTTCGTCTGCCGATAGTTTAGTCGGGCAGTTGATCAGTATGAGCATGTATGGGAGTGCGCACACTACGCCGATTCGATTTGGCCGATTCTTCATACAAATTAAAATCGGGCACAACTATCGGCCAACTAAAAATCAACAGTGTGCGCCTACTCTTAGATTTCCACCGACTTAAGACTGTCAAAAGCTCTACCTACTGAATAAAATATTACATAGGTATTACTACTAGGTACTTGGTATCCGCGTCTTCTAGCACACCTAAGCGTGTACAGTCAGCGTCAAGTAAAGACACCCAAAGTATTAGTCAAAAAGTTTGCAACGTGACTTGGAATAAGGTTTTGTTGTCAACTTTTTGACCACTTTGGATGTCACGAAGTATTTGACGCTGACTGTACCACACATATACGTATACGGGATGACAGTGCGCCCATGGTGACACGTTGTGACATCGTGTCATGCAAATTTTTGACTTACATGAACATCGTAAAAATACGCGACAAGTTGTCACGTAGTTGAAGAAATATCAGAAAGAAAACCTATCACTAAAAAAAATACGAGGTGCACTGTCAGTAACATAGTGTAACAACTTGAAAAGTTAAAATATTCAAGATTGGCAACAATTTTCAAGATTTTTTTTTGCAATAGGAATTGCAGTTTTCTTTTGTTATCTCGTTGTAATTAATGTAAATTAACTGTCTCCACCTCACAGTATACCTACTAAAACAAAACATTGTTTTTAGAAACGATTCCCCGACTTAAATATCACGGAAGAAGACCTCAAAAACGCAGAAAAGGAACTTGAAGAGTTCACTCGAGAAGAGAAAGACAAAGAAAGAGAAAGCAAGAGTGAGGAGACGCCACAAATAGAGGAAGACAAAAAAACAATATAACAAGTAGAGTACCAACGCACACCGCACTCACTACCTATTTATTTATTACTGAACGTTGAGGTAGGAACACAAATATTTTCCTATGTATTTAAATATTATTAACTTATTATTACATATTTATTAATTATTAACATGTATTATTTTTAAAATTATAAAAAACTTGAAAAAATCGAACTGCCTAAGGCGGGAATCGAACCCACGACCTTCCTCTTGCCGGGCGACTGCTCTTAGTTTTAGATGCAACTCTTAACGACTAAAAAAATTAAATAACAACATGTAATGTATTATTTTTAAAATCATAAAGGCGCGCACGCACGTTTGACTGTTGTCACCTTATAAGTACCATATTACGTTGTCTCTCTTTTTCTCTTTATAAAAGTGTAAAAGAGAAAGATATTATACTGTCACGGTGACAAAGAGACACCCGTGCGCGCATAGCCTTAAATTCCGATTCTAAAAATATCTCCGAGATTGCATCATTTTGCAACTGAAATGTATATCCAGTTTCCGCGAATTCCTCAATTCAATATTCCCATTTCTCGCTGCGACGGCATCTCCCCGGTTCTAAATCTAATCTCCATTAAATCAACCCCTGCTTTTTATAGCTGAGGGGTCGCAAGCTCGCGCAGTCCGCCGCCGTGCCGCCAGGTGACGCTACGAGCTTTAAGCTCGAACCGGCCGAGGCGTGGTGAGCTTTCGTCTCTATCGATCCGCTCACAACAAAATAGTGATGTTGTTGTTAATTTTAGAGCGCAAAAACAAATACGTCCGCAATGTGATAAATTGATAAGTTATCGTGTGAATGATGTCGATTAGTCGTCCGCGAACGTCGTGTGATGCCGCGCGTCCCGTCCGCGGTGGTGACAAGTAAGCTGATGCTGCGAAGATGACACGGTCCAGCTACAGGCCCCTCATTCCGAGATCCTCGAACAACTCGTTGGACAACCGAGACATGGGGTGAGTACCTTTTGATTCACAATTAGACATTTACAGCTATTTAATATTGATTGGAAATTAGGGAATATAAATCGCGATTTAAATGGGAATAGAGATCAAGGGGAATAATTTAAGGTTCATTACCTACATTATAATAGTAACGTGGAGTCGTGGATGATATGATTCGAGAAAAAGCAGTTGTTGTAGTATTCTCGATCATATGCTAATGCAGATGACGAAACTGCGATGCTCTCAAGTATGTTATAGTCTATCCAATATAGCTTGATTAGAATGACAGCTGTCATCAAAAGTAACGACATAACTTTGTAGCAGCAATCAATGAGAGCAAAATATTGGCGGACAAGAAATAATTCACGTCTGACCTACAAACAATATTTTCGACGACAGTGCTTCCAATAAAAATGATAATTTCGTGTAAATGCAGCGTTAAATTACACCAACAAGTAGTGATTCGAAATTATAAAAATCAAGCTAGAGTATTAACGACGTCTCTACAAGGTTATCTCGAGTTACAAAAATGTTAGTGTTGGGACATATCGACAAATGTCATATTAAATTAAAACTATTTTTTTAACATATTTAACAATTTTTTTTTCTAACTCATTTTTTAACATATTATTATTTAAGTCAAGTTATGCGTTTTTCTAAATGTTCACTATTAAAAACCAAAAAACATTTCATTCTTAAATAATCAAACATCGGAAATCAATCACCGGTAATTTTTTGGGTATTCATAGCATCGTTGCTCTAGAAGAGATGCAGATGCCCACCGCCCTCTAGCGAGAGGAAAAAACCACTGAAGAACACTGATGATAATAATGACTACGACTTAGGTTGTACACCCTTGACATGAATTTTAAATTTTACTGTCTTTAAATTTAAATCATAATTGACATTTTTATGAATAAAGATATATGAAGAAAAATTGGGTGCATTTTTTCATATCATTTTTTCGAAAACTTATCGATACATCTATGTGAACCGTACGAAACATACCCATCACTAGTCACATTCATTTGACAGCCGTCATTCTAATCAAGCTATATTGGATAGACTATAATGTGTGGCGCCGAGTAAAATAATTAAATGCTTTATTCTAAGATCAGGTAGGCATACAAAGCAGATCGAGGAAATCATCTAGAATTTTGTTTACCTACGTGTGTGTGAAACGAATCAAAAATTCCTTATCGCGGTGCTGAATTTATATTGAATTTATCTTATTTTACAAAGAATTTGTTCTCATGTGTAAAAAAGTAATAAGAAATGTAAAGAGAGTATTGATATGCAAATCGGGTCTGGAATTTAATTCAAAGCCGTAAAACCGAAGTATTCTTTACTTTATACAATACATACATTAAGCACAGTTGGTACAACGAGAAAATTTGATCACCATTTAATATTATAGGTACCTACTTATTAAGTACAAAATATCTCTATTCATTTAACTTATCTACGCTACTATCTTATTTAATCACGATCTTGAAATAATCAAACAAGGTGTGTCTCCAAATAATAGTAAACCGAAGGGTTAAATATTTCTTTGTTTTAAAAAGGTAAAACCTATTTTAAAGAAAAAACAAAAAAAAAATCTCTTTGATACAAAGTAGAATGTTGTACTAAACAAATAATATCACAAAATACATACAGAAAAAATAATAATATTGGTAATTTCTTACTAGAGTTTTATCATAAATCATCATTCACTTCAGTAGAGTTTATTATTTTTATTTTATTTTATTTTATTTTATTGCCTCATTAACTAAATACAGGACATAAATAACAATTATTGAAATAAACCCACTTGCATCATGTTTACAACGTGAGCCAGATGCTTGGACGAAGGCCAGATGTCATAATGTACAATTTATTGTCCCACTGTTGATGCGTCCATGGCCATTGTTATCAGTTGTTATCAAACTACCCGCTACCGATAGAGACGAGAACAATGGGAGAGACTTTGGTCGAGACACATGTCTCATAAGCGGTGTACCTTTGTGTGCTGATGATAATAATATAAATAAACTTATGAAAAGCGTGGCGCAGTTTATAAATAGGTGAGATGAGAGCTGTTTACTCGTAATTATGCTTTATTACATGCAAAAATAACACGACGAATCTATCTTAAGACTCCCGGCAGACTACAAACTTTTCGTCGGCCGATAGCAGTTGGGCCCGATCTAATTTGTATAAAGAATCGGCCGATACCAATGTGCGCGCTTTCATCCATATCCATACTGATTAACAGCCCGACCCAACTATCGGCCAACTAAAAGTCGGTGGTCTGCGCCTAGGGTAAAAGATTCGACTAATCTTTAAAAAAATTATAATAAAAAATAACTTTTTTAAAAACAAGCTTTATCCTGAAATGCAGTTGTACTAAAACGAAAAAATAATTGTATGCTTGTTTCAAAGAATTTGGAAAGCTTGTATCGCGCATGGAATTTATTCCTCATTTTTTCTGTTTCCGTCGTTTCGTTTAGGAGTTCCTATAGCCACCTCCTGACTCCATCATCAGACCAGCTCAATGGTACCATAATATTGCATTGTCATCGTACTTACATAAGCATACCAAATTTCAGCTCAATCGGTTGAGGAGAACTGGTCTTAAATTCAGTTGCAAGATTTGTCCCACACATACTAACAAGTGAAGTCAATATAAAGCTTGTAAAAAAATAGATACAAATGACATCACTAGTCGCAATTTTGGTAGTGACTCTTGAGGATAATCTCTATCATCAAGAAATCATTTACGCTATCACATTTTCCCCATGTTTTTTTGTTTTGTTAGTCATCGTAGTACGCAGGTAAATAATATCACGTCACCTCCATATCACCTGAAAAGTCTTATTCACGCATATTCCACAAATCAGTTATTCACACCGGAAAGTATGTAAGATGAATATATACTAGCTTTTGCCCATGGATTCTCCTGTGATTTGTCATTGAAAAAGTTGCTAGAATTTTTCATAAACAGAGCACATTATTGAAATTTAAAAAATGCTCCATGGTTTTAATTTTAACCTCTATTAAAAATCTAAAAACATTTAGAGAGGTTTTCCAAAACTTTTGATACACGCTTCATAAAACCTGTTGTGTATCTTTAAAATTACGGATTTTCATTAAAACAACGTACCATAAAAGTAACGTACAGGACCTAAATACGAGTAAATACATACTTACCACACTTCCGTATGTGAAGAGTAATTTTCAGATTTGGTGTATCATAGTCAATAAGTACCTAATGAATGAGTGACCTTTCGCTTTTATATGTGAAGGAGCTATAAACTCTTTATGACTATGTACCGATATTATCACGCTTCACTGATAACATTGGTAGGTATTTTCCACCGAGCACGACTAATATTTTTATTTACTTCGGGTAGGTGCGGGCTGGCATATTTCCTACCTTCTACTGATATTTAAATCAAACTAACTTCTAATCTAGAAAATTTACCTAAAAATTAATACTGTTTCTACATTAATAATAAGTTACTTCAATACAAAATCTAGATGAGATACTTAGCTCCTTGCAATTTTTTTGAAGTATTTTTTGTAGGTAGGTTCTTAATCAATCAATGATCGAGTGAAAAGCTCGATTCTGCAGATATGATCTATTCACTCGCACATTGAAAGCTTCAAGATTAAATGAAGTAGTGAAATTGACAGGGAATCCTCACTTTATCTAATTTAGGTGGTCAAATATGGAAATAGAATGTGTAGCAAGATTTGAAAATTAAAATGGGATCTAGACTCCTGAAACGTTTCTCTTGTTTTAATGTAGTAAAGTAGCAATTTACTTTCTAGAGTTTTATTAGGCTATGTAACATAAATATTGAAGGTTTCCCTGAACTGTCGTAGTTACTGACTCTAAATATGACGATTTGGTCTGATGCCAAACATAAATATTTGGCGACTCTAGATTTGAGTTTAATCTTGAAATTAAAATATATCGATGAAAACTGCATTGTAATTTTCTCGTCAAAGAAAGCAGGTTAACTGTTTCTATGTGACTTTAATCGGCGATAAACTTTCTGATAAAAATCACAATTTCCAACTTGAAAGCCGATTAAAAGATTGCGGTATAACTAATATAATTATGCAACA